CTTCTTGGAAACAAAACTCTGTCTGTCAAAACAGTACCTCTGTCAGGTTCCTGGCTCATCATCCATAATCAGAGGAAAAGATTTAAAATGAGAGCACCTGCCAACTGGTTGGAAGGGACTGCCAAAAGTTCTGCAGGTACTGATGCTGAAGCCACAGCCACCGTGAGAAACCACATTGAAAAGCCTGAGATTGCTTCCTGCCCCTGAGCCCTGGAGAAAGTGCAAAAAGGATGAGGGAGAGCAATAGTTAGTTTTTAACCTGTTCTGAGCAAAATTCACAGATGAAAAAGTTCATAGTGTTCAGGAGTCGCCCTTTCAAGCTGGTACCCCCACCACGAGCATGCCAGATGACCAGCAAAATAAGCCTGGCACCATTTAAAGCAGAAGTCAGCCTGGAAATGAGCCCCAAATCTTGTGTGACTAAGCTCTTCTAAAAACAGCCCTTGTTGAAGCCGGTGGGGACAGGTTACAAGCAGCTGGTCCCATCCTCCACCTCCTCCATGGATCCTGCAGCTGCTCTGCCGAGTCACAAGGCATTCCCGGATTCTCCTTGGCGCAGCAACTTGTGCAGAATGAACCTAGAAATCTCCCTCTCAAGTCCCAGGGCAGGACAGAAACTTGCTCACTGTAGCAAAACCAACCCACCCCAAAAATTCAGACAACCTTGGAAAACATCAAGCGTTTGGGAAGAGAATCTTCCAAACGCTAAATGGGGAGAATCCCCAAAGTGCAACACCAAAACCCAACGGATGCTCAGCAGGCCTCGTCCCATCACGAGAAGATGGAGCAGAGCAAATGCCGCTGTGTGTCTGCGGTGCTCAACCACAAGTTCAGCGAAGCCCCAGTGAAACTTCCCAGCATGGCTGGGAGCCTCACATCAGTCTCTTCCGTAGCGCAGGACAGGGAGCGAACGCTGGAAGAGGCTGCAATTCCCACTGCCGGACAGGTGGGAGCAGACAACCCACAGGGAAGCGCTCTATGAAAAAAGAAAAGCAGTCAGGAAAAGCAAGTATGAATTAGAGATCCAGGAGGGCTGCTGTGCCTGCAGCTCCTCAGGGGTCCTGCGTGCTGAAGGGATGAGACGAACCCTGTCCACATACAGCTCGATCTACCTCGCCTTAACTGCGTGATCTACTATCGCTTTGACCCTGGAAATTTTACAACGGAAGCAGCGTATCATCTGAGAAAAACGGTGTGTGTACCAACCAGGACCCCCAAACCCTTCTTACAGAACTGGCTGTGCTTGGCAAAACCATTTGGACTGGGAATAAATGCTAAGGAAGAAAAGTGTAGTAATGTGGAAAAAAAAAAAAAAAAGGTATTTTCTGAAGAAATCCTCTAACCAGGCAAAAAGGTAAAGCAAGCTTTGCCAGTGACATTTTCTGAACTAGCTCTATCAGTTTCTAAATGTAGCTGTTGTATTTAAAATTCATACCCTATTCTGACGTTGAATTAATTTCGTGTCTAAGCAAATCCCAAGTTAAATCCAGAAACTGGTGTATCCAGTATGATTTACAAGATACACTGGGAGATAGCAAGGCTGGAAGGTAAAAATTCCTCCCAGATCTTGTTTAGCAGTAGCTGGGGATTAGTGAGCTGGTAATGAGAAAATGTGTACGCAAAGACCAGAGTCAAACACCTCTGTTCCTCAAAAGGGATTCGGAGAAATACCTAAGGGTGTTCGGTACTTCTTGGTGTGCAGGATATGGACCTGTCTCCCCAAAATGGTCCAAGAACAGGAATTTTCCCTAGTCAGACACACACGGAAAACATAATCGCTGGCCCCCATCAGACTCCTCAACCCATACACGGGGCTGCGCTGCCGCAGACCCACATTTTGCTAAAGAAATGGTTTCAGGCTCCTCATCCCATCGGAAGCCGGTCAGAATTTCTCACAGGCCACCCCGGATGCTTACTGTCAAGCTTTTAATTAAACACACGTTAATGGCAACAGGGCACCTGCAGCCTTGAAGCTTACGCTTTGGAAATCACCGCTGCGTGCCCAACAGGAGTAACGCCCACGTCTTTCCAGCTCTGCAGTTGGTTCAACATTTTGCAGTCTCTGTAACTCCAACAGTAATCCCAGATTTCCCACAATTTAGGGTAATCTAAATTGGATCATCACCTCTTCATCAAGTAACACAGTAAGAAGGTTTGAGCCGTTTCTGTAATTACTAGTAAACATCGCATGCTGAAAGGCAGAACGCTTCATAATCTCAGTTGCAGATTTTGATGCAATTTTCAAGAATTACAAAATCCCAGTGAGCTGTGATATCATCTGCCTTGGGTTTCTTGCCTTTAGCACATAAAGATAAAAGCAGAATTTACCTTACTGCACGGAGTCCTTGTCTTTCATCTTGTGTTACACCATTAATCGGTAATTAATCGGGGCTTTTCCTGTAGCCATCCATGAGAAACGAAATCCCACACTCTGTTTAACTTGGATTCCAAAACACAAACCCTACGAAATCCAGGTGACCGGCTGTTTTGTCGCTCCACATAAAAGTCTCCTCTGTGCTTCGGTTGCTGCAATAATGGCCGGGAGCTGAAAATGAACATTAAGATGAATAAGCGATACACAGAAAAAAAAGGGCCGAGACATTAACAGCTCAACAGAACCTTGGCTGAGATTCTCCCAAACAACCCCAAAAGGCTGGCTCACACATCAAGGGAACGTGGCCCAAAGCCTCGCTCCTAGAAGGAAATGCATGAGTTATTTTAAGCTCTGCAGCACCAGCAAACAGGCTTCAGCGGGGAATCTTTGCTGGCCTCTGTACTCCCAAATTGTTCTCCGCCTACGGGCCCAAGGGTCTGTAGGTACACAGCTCTCCTGGGAACCAGGGGATGCTGCTTACGATGGCTCACACTCATCGTTACCAACTTTCCACCACAAAACCAAAAGCAGAGAGCAAAATGATTCTGCCACAGGGTTTGTGAGGCGTGCTGAGCTGTGGGAATGTCCCGCCGTCCTTCAGACACAGACTCGGATATGGCTCATCCACGCGATAGGAAATATTACACAGGACAGCAATGCTGGCCAGCCTTAGAAGAGGAGCATAAACTTCTAGGGATAGAGTACGTGTGGCTTCAGGTCACCTCCCATAGCAAATTAGGGCTGCATTATAAAAGCTAAAATCTGGGGGACTAGGGAAAGGCAGGTCCAAAGCAGGAGAAGGGTGGGCATATGGGGTAGCGCTGTTGCAGCACAGTAACAGAACGATCTAGAAAGTGTTTAACAGCAGAACATAAAAACCCCCTTCTTTACATCACCTCTGAAATGCCACTCTATTGAACAGGCACTTTTCAAGAAGAGGGGCATCATCTGAGCCTTCGGCACCGCCGACCAGCTACATCAGAAGGAAAAAAAAAAGAGCACTCCACTCTCTTCCACCTCTCCGCTGCCTCTGAAACACTACCAGCACATGCAGGGAACATTCATTTCCTTAAATTCAGAGTAACTGAAGGTTAGGACACTGCTAACAGCCCACAGCGCAGTCAGATGCACAGCAGGAGGAAAAAATTCACAGCAGATGAGAAGGCAGGGGGTCCAGGAGTCCTCTAGCTCCAGTCATTCAGAAATATGCTACCTCCAGTACATGTCACCATTCCCCTCACATTCACAGTGTGTTTACCATTGCAGGTGATAAAAAGACCACAGACTGACAAATATATCATAATTATGGACACAAACAAAGGTGTAGTAGAAGTAGGCTTTATGAAAGTATTTAAATTTTGTGGCAAATCTCTGCATCAACATGGGCAGGGAGGCACCGAAATGCTTTGCAGTAGCAATTTCAGTTACCAAACTATTTCTTGGATAGGCATTTATTACAGGTAGTTTATCTGTTCCTATTTTTCAAAGAGTTTAAGGCACAAAAGCCTGAAAAGGGCTTATAACATGTACATAAGTGCTATTATTTTCGCTTTCACCTCTAATGCAACATAATATTAGCTTAAATATATTGCTTGTCCATCCAGCTTATACAACATCCAGTAGAAAACTGCTTTCCAGGCTAGCAACAATTTGTTGCACAATATATCGATTAGATTGCTCTGACCCGTTTTTGCTGCAAGATCTTCAGTTTCACTCTGAGTTTCACTCTGACAGGACAGCGGAAGACGCTATGAAATCTTAACATCTCAATGAGACCATCAAGGTGTGTCCACAATGGAAAAAAGGTATGATACACAAAATAACATTTAAACAAGGTTGCTGGTAAAAAAAAAAAAAGTGTTTTAAACCGCTTGACTGATGGGGAATTATTTCCTCATAGGCGGGTGGAGAGGCAAGCCAAACGTGCGAGAGACCACCAGGCAGAAGGCATCGGTCTGTCGTAGTTTTATAACGCTCCCTTCTGTCTTTACTCTCCAAAATGCTCTTCAGGTAGATTGCTTAAGAACAGCGAGCTATGAACTTGCTAGCTCAAGATCACAGCTTAGGTTAAGCAGAACATAAGCTTTCATCTACATGATTCTTTCCCGTGCTCAAGTTACAGCAACCGTACCCAGTCACTGGAAAGCTTTTGAGACATTTTAGTGGTATCCAACAATGATTTTTTTAAAAGAACACATTTATGAGAGTTGGATCAAATGACTGAAGACAGTTAAATGGGCGGCAAAACAGAAAGATGGGCAGGAACCAAAATGCAAAGGGTGATTTTACTTAAAAGACCAACTTTTTTATTGTACGTTGGAGTAGAGTCTTTCCCCTGTGCCATCTCGTTGAAAGTTTATAAATTACAATTCCCAAGAAGTATTAAGAGTTCATTTCAAGACAAAAGGAATAAAACCGTTGCAGTTCTAGCTTCCACCATGAACAAAAGTTACCATGATGCTCCTACGATACTCATTCCGTACAGGGAAGGCCACAGTCCTCCTGTACTTCGAGTAACAGACCTGGGTGGAGAAAGGGCCACCCCTCACTACTGCAGGATCCAGGTGCAGCATTAACAGTCCGGAGCGCACTGGCAGGCTTGTCACACAGACACAGTGCCTCAGCAACGAGGCTATAACACGGCTGGAATCTCTGACGAGACAGTGTCCAAAGGCTGCCAATGACAGTCCATCAAGGCATCGTAGAGCTCTTCGCTCTGTTCCATAAACTGTTTATTTGCTTCATGGACGTCCAACTGAGGCGTCGGATCTAAAGGAGGAAAGACAGACAAAGAGGTCACACGCCAAACGTGTTAGGAAAACCCCACACCCCGTAAACATGTTAGTTTTATTAAAACAAACGTGGGGGGGGCGAGGGGGGGAGTCGTAAAACATTCCCAGCACTTGCCCAATCATGAAGTTGACTAGATTAGCCCTAGTAAATCTTTCTGCAATGGGATAAGAAATAACTACATCCAAGAGTATCCCTCTTTCCAGTGGTGATCGCCCCCATAGCAGAGTCAACAGAGAGAACGCATACCTGCACCTCGCAGCCCAGTGTAGCCACTTAAACTGCCAAAGAAGGTGGGTTGGCACTAAGGCACCGGACTGCAAAGTGGAGGAGCGGAGGCGCAGGCACACGTTCCGTTCTGCTCCCTCCACTACAGGGTCAGAGTGGATGGCTGGGGACGGTAGCGTCTTACGCTGCTGCAACAAGAGTCACCAGAGCTCATCTGCCAAAGCCTCGAACATCTCAAAGCATTTCACAGTTAGTAACCAAAGAAGTGCCAGAGACACCCAGTGAATTACGTATGAATATGTCCCCTATTTTACAGTTGGAAGCAGTGTTTGTAAAGCATTCTGGAGCTGGATAGCAACCCAGCGGGTACAATTCCACTGCTACTAACACACAACATTTCACAAAAACAGTCTCATCGGATTCCCCAAACCACTTGTAGGATGTAAAGCTCACCTAACACCACCCACAATCTCAAGCTCAGGTTATCAGCCTAGCACAATCACATGGGTTAGTAAGCGACTATCAGGGTGCAGAGCAACTAGCCGACCGAATGGAAAAACTACAAAACACATCAGGAATAAAACGCTTGTAAATACATTAGCTTTTAGCTACATGGTGGTGTAACACATCACAGGAGAAGAGAATTAAGAAAAAGGAATGATACACTGGCAATATATCATTTCATTTTCCTACAGATTTCAACATATTAATTTAATCAATGAGAAAAAGACACCCCAGAGATATTCTAATTGTAGTACCGGTGTGTTAGTTTCAGGGAGAGGAAAGCTCTCCTGTAACGCTTTTAAAAGCCATTAAGGGCTTTCTCATTGACATCATTACTGATACCTACGGATCCTGTAGAGGATCCAGCTGTTTTCTACCGTTACCATGTGATTTTTAAATTTTTTTTGAAGGGGAGAATAAGATGCACTACGTAGTGCAGATTCCACTCAAGACAGAAATTTGGAACTGCTACTATAAAATGATTTTTTCTTGCATCGATAAATGAAAACTGCTCTTATGTATATCTAAAACCCCAGCATGGTTTAGTGGCCCATTTCAAGCAATGCCTGCTAAAGCAAATATTTTATCAGCGTGCTAACTGACACTATTTTTTTTTTTTTAACTATAAGCACAATCAAGTATCCTGGGCTTTAAATTCCAAGATTTGACAGAAAAAACAGAGCATCTACATTGCTTTTGTAGCATACCAGAAAAAAAAATTTAAAAAAGGATAAAAGTTTGAGTACTATAGAATATTAAAATCTCAATGCTAGCGAAGTCAGTTAGTTTCAGTCCTGACAAGGTTCAGACTAGGAACAGCAACTGTAAAATAAGGATGCAATTGCGCTAGGTGGTAGTAACCCACAAATTTTCTCAGACCTCAGATTTACTCAAAGATAAAGGTACGGTATACATTGAAATGAAGGGCCAATTTGAGAAAGACTCTCTCTAATCAGTGCAGAACACACAGACAACTTCAACATCGAATTCAAGAAACGTACCTTCTAATGCATCCTCACCAACTTCTTCATATGTCTGCAAGAAAAAAAAAGAAAAACCACCTTAGGACAGCAGATATTTATCTTTTCTTTTAGGAACATCATCTGTTGATTACTGTTGTCATACACTGGCTTTTATATCTGACTGACTGCAGTGGAATTCTTCACCCATAAGCCCTGTGTTCCACGGCCAACAGGCTCCACGGGGGAGATCCCACACTGAACTTCTAACAGAGGCAGCAGTTCTTCAAATCCCTGTGGCACAGCAGGTGGTTGTCCTGATCTGTTTTATCCTCTAAAACAAGGCTTATGAAGGATCCCAGAGGGCAGTCTTAGCACTGTCTGTCCAACTGCCTGTATCAAGAGAACACTTCTACCATGACGACTGTATTAAGAGACCCCCTTATGCCCCCCACACTGTCTTACCCCTCCGGCCCCAGCAATATCCCCCATACAAGGCAACAGTAGACACCAGGGTCTGCTAAACAGTTTTGCTTCCTCATCAAGTAGCTGTAAGACGACCCCAGATTTGAATATAAAATGCAACCATCACCGTTTTGTAACCTATGTCGTGTTTCTGTGCTGACAGATCACTGAAGAGCGAGTACGTCGTGCTGTCCTACCTGCATTGTGCTCTGCGTGTATCCATACTGGGGATAGCTGTAGCTGTAACTGCCTGTGTTCTGGTCGTAGCCCCACTGGGCATAGTAGTTGTGATATTGTTGGTAATATTGGTTATAATTATAGTTGTACATCTGATTGTACTCCATTGATTTCACACGATTACTTAAAAAAATAAAGCAGGGAAAGTTGCAAATAATGCAGAAACAATTATTTAAAAAAGCAGTGAAATAGCTTAAGATACAATATGGTACATAGACAAGGCTTAGTCTAACATGCAAATTTCAGTCTTTAAAACGCATTCACTATTTACTGCCGCAGTATTTATCATTTGCATACATATGCAGAAAGAAAGAAGTGGTTTAAATTTAACGCCCTTTCCTGTATGCATAATCATCTTAATTAATAAACACTGTTTTCATCCTTTATGAGTAATTCAGTATCACTTCCTGGCTTTGGGAAGGGAAGAGTTCAGGACCATGAGCCTCAGTTTAGAATAATCCTGAACCATGATCCAGATTCTTGGGTCCCTTTTTCCTTCTGATAAATAGGATGAAGTTAAGTACCCTGCAGCTTCCTGAGACAAGGTACTGAGCCTTTTTTAACTGAAGAGTTAAAGACTTAGAGCCTTGCAAAAGAACTGGGGTTTGCTTTAGTAAGAATGGTCAAAACCCTCTCCCTGCTGCCACTATCATACAGGAGCCTAACCAACGAGTGGTTGTCCCCATTCCCACTGAACTGGGTGGTCTTCAAGGCACATAGCTGGAAGAGCTCATGAAGTAAAAAGGACTAAAAGTAATTAAAAAAATAAACTTAACTAGCCTGCGAGCTGACTAAAATTCCCATTCCTTGCCATAAAGTGGCAGCATTCCCAAGGAAGTAGGAATCTCACTTGATTATCAAGATTTGAAATAATGAGATGACAAATATTGTCTGGAAATGAAAGTATGTCACACATAAAGCTATGGCTAATGATGAAATTAGTGAGAAGTAGGAAGAGGGAAACATCAATCTTCTCACCATGATACACCCCCTTTTTCTGCTTTTCTGTTTCTTATCCCCCCAAGACTTCTGAGGTCACTGAAAATCTAAATATTATTCAAATAGGGAGCAATTACTATTATTTGTATTACCCTAGTGCTACGAGCCCCAAGTCAGACCAGGATCTCATTGTATCAGGTTCTGAACAAACACAGAAAAAAAAGTTAATCCCTGCCCCAAAAGATTTGTATTTAGTAGACATTATAATAGAATTAGCAAGGTAATTGAGCTTTGCTATCCAGAAATCAATAAGCAGACTTAGACTATTTCAATTTAATACAAAGGAACATATATTTTAAAAATAATCATATTTAAATACAGTGTGTGTACATGTGTGTGTATTTAATAATGTATACAAACAAAAACAGTGTAAAATGCTTAGTCTTGATCTAATGTTATAATTTTTGTAATTCCTGTGCATTCTGATACTCTAGCTACTTTATTATAGTCATGGGTATTCCTTTACTTTGTGATGGAAACATCCAGGAAATGCACCCAAACCACGAAATACATTTAAAAATACATGTGATTTCATATCGAGGTGCTCTCAGATAAACATCCGGCTGCTCTTATACTCACGCTTTTGGTATAGCCACACTCAAGCGTACAGGTTTAGAGCCCAACCCCACAGCTCCTTGACACTCCGTCAGCGCTCTTTTCTGTTCCAGTTCATCCGTGAATTTCACGAACCCGTAACCTCTGCAGAGATACACAACGACTCATAAAACAAAACCAAAAAAGCCATGCCACGTTTCTTTGTAAATATTTACAGTTATGTCAAAATTGGTTTTGAAAAACACAGCAAGTGAAACACTTTCCCTAGGCCTGTCCTTGCTTTGAGTAGAGATTAAGTGGTTCCATCTTCCAGTTGCTTTGTATTATCTGCAAAATGCTTGAAACTGTACGTCCAGGCTTTGGCAGTACTCGCAAGGGCTTCACAAAAGTAAAGTAGTTCTTGCGCCAATGGATTCTGGGGAATTGGAAGCGAGCTGACACAAGACGTGTCGAAATGCGTGAATAGACAGTAGCAAAGCCTCAAATCTATACTGGGAGGATACAGATAATCTAAACAGTTGCAAGTCAGCACAGGAGTGACAAGACAGAGGCACCGTTTGTATCTAAAACTGCCCCCACTGTGAAGGAAAACTTTGCTTCTCTGTAGGATCGACTGGGATTCGCTTTCCAGTCAAGTCCTTTTTTCAACAGGAAAATATTCAAACAGGCTTTCTGTCATTCCTAACAATGGCACGGCCCCATCAGCCTTCTCAACAGCGGGCCTGAAAACGAGCTCTTAACGTCAAGTTGCTAAAACCTGCTCTGACAGCACAACTTGAACAGGGATAACCCACAGCCAGCAACCCCTCAACTCTGTGGCAATCCTTCACTGCGGTGCTAGACAGAAAATACTAATTTCCCCTCCAACCCCAAAGGTCCTTTGCGTGGGATTCTGATGCTGTAGTGAGTCAGAGGCAATGCAACAGCATCCAAGAGGGCAGTGCCAGGATCCCAAGATGGGATGGGCTGCCTCACGCAGCAGAAAGATCAAAGACTTAGGTGTGGGAGGGAA